AAAAAAAAAAAAAAGCTAGAGAAGAGAATGAGTCAAGATTTGAACTCAAGACCACAAATTTGATAAGGAAGATTTTTATCACTTGAGATTACAATCAATATATATTAAATATTTTATTTATTTAACTTGCACAAACATCACGTGTACCAACCACTAGTATATATGTATATACATATCCTTTTTAGGGCCATTTCCCAAAATAAGTCAAATTTACAATTCAATTCCCAAACTAAGCTTAGTTTTGAAAGAATTCCCAAAATAAGCTAAATCGTGGTTCACAACCACGATTTCAACATATATGCGCCTGTCTCGCTTGAAATTTGGGAAGTCTTAAAAGCGTGGTTACAAAACGCGATTTTGATTAATAAATCGCGGTTACAAAAGGCGCTTTTAATTAAATTTTTTTTCTTCTGAAATTGCTGTTCTGAATCACGTTTTTACCCAAATTTTTTTTTCTTCTGAACTCGTTGTTCTGAACCACGCTTTTTAGCTGAAATCGTGGTTCCTAACCACGCTTTTTGGCCAAACACATGCACTCACACAAACACTCTCACTCTCTCACTTTGACTCTGGCACAAACACAAACAACCACTCACACTCAATATAAATATATATAAATTTTATTTCATAAAATTGAAATCAATATTAAATATATATAACAATTTATAATAACAAATAATAACAATTAAATAATAACAATTATAATAATTAAATAATAATTAAATAACAATTATAATAATTATAACAATTAAATATATATAATAATTTATAATAACAATAATAACAATTAAATATATATAACAAATAATAATTAACTATATAAAATATATATAAATATATAAGAAAGAAAGAGAAAAGAAAGAAAGAAAATATAAAAAAAAAAAAAAAAAAATTTGCCGGTCTGACCCGCCAAAACCCGGTCCGGTTCACCGGTTCTCCCGGTTCAACCGCCGGTTCCGGCGGTTTTCAATTTCCAGGCCGGTTTTGCTCATAGTCCGGTTCTGGAGGGTTGACCGGACCGGAGCCAGGCCCGGTTCCCGGTCCAACCGGTTCGACCGACCGGTCCGGTCCGGGTTTCACAACATTGTGTGAGTGGTTGTTTGTGTTTGTGTCAGAGTCAAAGTGAGAGAGTGAGAGTGTTTGTGTGAGTGCATGTGTTTGGCCAAAAAGCGTGGTTAGGAACCATGATTTCAGCAGAAACAAATTTTGGCTAAAAAGCGTGGTTCAGAATAGCAAGTTCAGAAAAAAAAAATTTTGGATAAAAACGTGATTCAGAACAGCGATTTCAGAAGAAATTTTTTTTAATTAAAAGCGCCTTTTGTAACCGCGATTTATTAATCAAAATCGCATTTTGTAATCACGCTTTTAAGACTTCCCAAATTTCATGCGAGACAGGTACATATATGTTGAAATCGTGGTTGTGAACCACAATTTAGCTTATTTTGGGAATTCTTTCAAAACTAGGCTTAGTTTAGAAATTGAATTGTAAATTTGACTTATTTTGAGAAATGACCCTCCTTTTTAACCTCTTTTCTCTCTCTCTTACCCACCTTAATCAACTAATAAATTACTCAAAAATTAATCTCTACCATACCTTACATAAACATAACATTATATAAATTAATCTCTACTACACAATCATCCACTCAAAATTTTTGTAAGTGAATAATGGGTCTAGACTTTTTCTTTATGTTGTGGGGGCACTTGAAAAAATAGCATGTCAAGTACCCATCAAACCATAATCAGCCAAATTGTACAACATTTTGTACAAGTTGTTTATATGAGAATAGTGAGGTGGGTGAAGATTGATAGTGTTCCACAACCTATCATTCTATTTTAAAAAATCTAGAAAAGGCAACAGAAAATTGCATACTTTGTGACTCAGATTCATTATATTTATTTTTTTACATACAATTGTTCATTAAATAGGGTTGATGTACTAATGGTACAGAAAAACTTAGCCTTTGTTTCGTACAACTCTGGAACGTTAGTTTTAGAGTTAATTTTGCACATGATGATTGTTTATGAGTTTCAAAAATTAATTCTACCCACTTTTGAAAACTCGATCGAAGGTGAGAAAATTTAGACTAATCGGTTGTCCGGCCGGTTAACCGGATTAGTGCAAATATATATATATATATATATATATTGCAATTGACACATGTTAATTTTTATATATTTGAAAAAAATATTTTTCAAAATTTTTAAAATTTTTTATGAGTTTTAATAGAATTTTGACTTGTGTGTTTGGTTATGACTTGTAAATTTTTGTATCAAATATCATATGTCATATTAAAAATTCCCTACTCAATTCAAAATTCTTTTCAAAACACTTTCACCAAACAAATTTTTCACACTCAAATCATAATTTCAAAATTCACAAAGTCAAAATATAATTCCTACTCTCAAATCATATTTAGAAAGCTCTATCAAACACTATCTTCATGTGTGATTTAGATTTATTATGTGTGTTTGTATTTTATTGTGCATAAAAAAGGATCTATAATACATGAAATATGCAATTTGTTATACTTTAACTGAAGGATTATTTTTAGAATTTTATGTGAAATCTTAACAAAATAAAAAAGACCAAATACTCAAAATATGCAAGTTTTATTTTATTTTTGTGCCCAAAGTATTTGCTTTGTTGAATTTTAGTCTTCAACTCTTTTTTTTCTTTTTCTTTTTTAAATTTTTTTTTCCCGTAAAGTTTCAAAAATACTCCTCTCCTATTATTGATTTTTCAATGACATAGATGTAAGGAATTAAAGTGTAACATATAGCATACATTATAGATTAAAAAAAATAGAAAAATTAAAAAATTTAGAACTAAAATATAACAAGTCGAATGTTTTAAAGATCATTAATGTAATTAATTCAATAAAAAACTTACAAGAAAATGCAAGAAAAAATATATAGTGACGTAGTTTGAGATCATGTGCTTGACAGCTCATAATGTTAAGGCCAAGTTTGGGAAGACTAAATAAGTGCACTTTTTGTCTTTTTAGACTAAAAAGTTGAGGTTGAAAATATGAATGTTTGGGTTAAGGGCCGATCTATCTTCTCATATTATATATATATATATATAAATATAAATATTATTTTTTTGTGTGTGTAGATCATGTGAGTTTGATTTGTGAATAAACTAAAACTAAGAAGTCATAAGTGGAGTGATGTTTTCTCTTCCACTGGAGGCCAACTCTGCATTTGTTTGATAGTTTTTAATCCTTTCTTAGAGCAAGGCCGCCCCGACAAGCCTGACCCGATTTGCTGGCTTTAGATTCCCACAACTTTCACTAACTCCATTTTTAAACAATCCAAAAATGAAACTCCACCAATGCTTAGCCACTATGTTATGTCAAAACTAAAGAATAAGTTTTATACAGAGATTATAATGAGTCTCACTTTTTATTTCTCAACGCTTTTTTGAAACTCATTTGATAATTATAAATTTTAGAAATTCAAAATAACTCAGTATATATAAGGATTTAAAAATAGCAAAATAAACTAGGTCACAGTAAGCCATCAACGAATAAAAAATAGAGTCGTGTTACGTAGCTCGAAAGAGCGTCCCCCCTAATCCCCCGAAAATAAAAACGACGTCGTTTCGACGTTTTTTGAATTTTTTTTTTTTTTTTTTTCAGAGAAGAAGAAGCAGACGCGAAGGAAGAGAAGAAGAAGAGAAGAAGAAAGAAAGAAGAAGAGAAGAAGAAGGGAAGAAGGGAAGAAGGCAGAGGCAGAGGAAGAAGGCAGAGGCGGAGGCGATGGCGACGGCGGCCGGGCGGAGCTGCGACGATCGCAGAGCTGCGACGAAATCGGCAGAGCTGCGACGATCGGCAGAGCTTGACGATCGGACGATCGGCCGGAATGCAGGGGCCTCTATGTGTGTGTGTCTCCATTCCCTCTTCTCTCTTCTCTCCCTCCCTCTCCCTCTCTCTCTCCCTCTCCCTCTTCCCCCTGCGTTTGAGCTCGGAAATGGTCAAAAATGGCAGAAAAAAAAGAAAAAAAAAAAAAAACCCTAATGCCCAAAACGACGTCGTTTTGGGCATTAGGGGGATTAGGGGGGGACAAGTTTCGAGCTCTCAAACATTATCCTAAAAAATATTATTTGGATTGAATTTGAGCCACTTCCATTACATACTATTCATACCCATTCTTCTTCTTAGAAAATTCTTTGAAGATGAGCTTAATCACAAGTAAAAGATTAGAGAAATTCTAATTTTACAAGAACCATTCATTAAAAAGTGTATATTGCTTTGGTAATGCTATTTGTTGAGAATTGCTGACTTGTCCTGTGTAATTAAACTAACTAGCTATCCAATACGTGGCTGACTCATACCATACCAGTTTGTGAGTGAGTGAGTGAGTGACCACTAAACTTAAATGATGGGTCATCTTCCTCTGTCTCTCTCTGCTATATTTTGCTGTAAAAAACAGACGCAATTAATCATTTTGAATTGAATTAACTAATAATGCAGATGTTAGAACATTCACAGTGCATTTGTTCTGGTTGGTCTTGTTATAAAGTTTAATGTACATAAATATAGATACATGTGAGTGATTGTATAAGAGATGATGATGGTCCATGACAGTAGAGCAGTAAATAATTCATTGTGGCAGTCACACAGTAGCGCTGCTGTACTAAAATCCAAATTCTGAAAGTAAAGAATGGAAGATGAACATCAGGATTCTTATATATTATTGTAGTTTCTTAGAGGCTATACTCAACACTATCATTTTTTCCCAAAATCTACCCAGCCACACACCAGCAGGGGAAAAAAAAAAAAAATCATCCATAAATAAATAAAAGCACTATATGCATTAATAAAAGCAAAATGGACTAAATAATAAATTGAAAGAAAAAAAAAACTGTATTTCTTTACAGGCTATTCAACAGCAACATTTTTTTGTTTCTGTCAGTGACTTCCAAAAAAACTACCCAATCCATGTATAAACAAAGTTTACAAACACAAGCAAAATCCAAATTCCAAACCAGTAAATTTATTGACACCAGAAACAAATAACCCATAAAAAAAAAACACCACTGTACCTGTATTGTATCCATTATCCATTAATTAAAGCCAAAATAGACTATATAATAATAGAGTAAAATAAAATAAAAACAAGTTGTTATTGGATCCAGATCTTCTGCTTTTCTTCTATAAACAAAACATAGGGTTCCTCAATCTACAATCCCAAAAAACAGATCAAACGAACACTTCTTTGCTCTCTCAGCAATGCCTCCACCCCTAAGACATCCCTTGTTTTCTCTCAATATCTTCTCTATTTCATTACTTGTCTCAATAAATTCTCTCTTTTTCTCTTCTTGTTCCTCCATTGATGTACAAAGCCAAGCTCTCTTGAAATGGAAAACCAACTTGAACAGCTTAACAGATGTACTTAGTTCATGGAATTCCTCGGACCAAAGTCCTTGCAATTGGTTTGGGATTCAATGCAATCCCAATGGCGATGTTGTGAAGATAAGCTTGAAATCAGTAGATTTGCAAGGTGCACTGCCTGCGAATCTTCAACCTCTCAAGTCACTAAATACTCTTATCATATCCTCAACCAATATCAGTGGACCAATTCCAAAAGAATTTGGAGAGTATCGCGAATTGGGTACACTTGATATCAGTGGCAATTCAATCTCAGGGCAAATCCCAGTTGAAATTTGCAGCCTAAGAAAATTGCAAAGTTTGTCATTCAACACAAACTTACTCGAAGGTGCGATTCCTTCTGAGATTGGAAACCTCTCGAGTCTTGTGAATTTGATGATCTACGACAATCAGCTCAGCGATGAGATTCCAAAGAGTATCGGGAAGTTGAGCAATTTGGAGATTTTCCGAGCTGGTGGGAATCAAAATCTTAAGGGTGTGCTGCCATTTGAGATTGGAAATTGCACCAGCTTGGTCATGTTAGGCCTCGCTGAAACCAGCATCTCGGGGAGTCTTCCTTCTTCACTTGGGACACTTCAGAGAATTCAAACCATAGCCATCTACACGGCTATGTTGTCGGGTCCAATCCCAGAAGAGATTGGGAATTGTACCCAGTTGCAGAATCTTTATTTGTATCAGAATTCCATCTCCGGTCCAATCCCAAGGCGAATTGGTGAGCTCAAGAACCTTCGGAGTCTTTATCTATGGCAGAACACGATAGTTGGCACAATCCCATCCGAGCTTGGAAGCTGCAGCGAGCTCGTGGTCATGGATTTGTCAGAGAATCTTCTTACTGGCAGCATACCAACAAGTCTTGGAACTCTTTCGAGGATTCAAGAGCTTCATCTGAGCGTTAACCAGTTATCGAATGCCATACCATCCGAACTCACAAACTGCACGGCCCTGACTCAGCTTGAGCTCGACAACAATAACTTCTCGGGGGGAATTCCTGTTTCAATGGGCAAATTAAAGAGCTTGTCTTTGTTCTTCACCTGGCAGAACAAGCTAACCGGCCAAATTCCAGAGTCCCTATCCGAATGCCAAAATCTTCAAGCTCTTGACCTTTCGTACAACAACCTCACTGGTTCAATACCAAATCAAGTTTTCGCCTTGCAAAATCTAACCAAGCTATTGCTACTTTCCAATGATTTGTCGGGTTTTTTACCGCCTGACATTGGAAATTGCACAAACTTGTACAGGTTTCGCGTGAACGAAAATCAACTGTCGGGTACTGTTCCATTGGAGATTGGAAATCTGAAAGTTTTGAATTTCCTTGACATGAGCAGCAACCGCTTCGTGGGTCAAATCCCTCCCTCGATATCAGGATGTGGAAGCCTCGAGTTTCTTGATCTCCATTCAAATGGGTTCACTGGTTCTATTCCCTATACACTGCCCAAAAGCTTACAGTTTGTTGACATTTCAGACAACAGACTTACAGGTTCACTGTCTCCAAATGTTGGTTCACTCACTGAACTAACTAAATTCAATCTTGGGAATAATCAAATCTCCGGCAGGGTTCCTGCAGAGATTCTGTCTTGTACCAAGCTTCAATTGTTAGACCTCGGAAACAACGGTTTCTCTGGCGAGATCCCAAAAGAATTGGGTCAGATTCCGGCACTCGAGATCTCTCTCAATCTCAGCCTCAACCAGTTCACCGGCGAGATCCCATCCCAATTCTCCGATCTAACCAAACTTGCAAATCTTGACCTCTCCCACAACAACCTCACCGGAAACTTAAACACCCTCACAAGCCTTCAAAACCTTGTCTCTCTCAATATCTCATTCAACGATTTCTCCGGCGAATTACCCAACACCCCATTTTTCCATAACCTCCCCATGAGTAACCTCGCCGGAAACAGAGCCCTCTACATCTCCGGCGGCGGAGTTGTAACTTCTGCAGACAGAATAGGAGCTTCCGGACACGTCAAATCGACAATGATGATGGTGATGACAATCCTTGCAAGCGCCAGTGCAGTACTAGTCCTGCTCGCAATCTACGTACTAGTCCGGGCCCGTGGATACACCATTGGACCCATAAAGGGTGAAACTTGGGAGTTGACTTTTTATCAAAAAATGAAAGTCTGCATCGATGACATAGTCCACAACCTCACATCTGCTAACGTGATTGGTACCGGAAGCTCTGGGGTTGTGTACAGGGTGACAATCCCAAGTGGGGAAACACTGGCGGTGAAGAAGATGTGGTCAGCAGAGGAGTCAGGGGCATTCAGTTCGGAAATTCGGACTCTGGGTTCTATCCGGCACCGAAATATTGTGAGGCTGTTGGGTTGGGCTTCAAACCAGAGCTTGAAATTGCTGTTCTATGATTACCATCCAGATGGAAGCTTGAGCTCAGCCCTACACGGCGGAGGGAAGGGAGGAGCCGAGTGGGAGACTAGATATGAGGTTGTGTTGGGTGTGGCACATGCACTTGCTTACTTACACCATGATTGTGTGCCTCCTATATTACATGGGGATGTCAAAGCCATGAATGTGTTGTTGGGTCCTCATTTTGAACCATATCTAGCTGATTTTGGGTTGGCTAGACTTGTCAATGGCAATGATGGCGATGATTGTTCAAAGCCGAATCAGAGTCCTAAACCTCTCCTTGCTGGGTCTTATGGGTATATGGCTCCAGGTTTGTGTTTTTTCAAAAACAATCACATCATCAGCTTATGCTTACGTTTGTATCGGCAAAAAACATTTTCCTATCAAAAATGTTTTTTTATGGAAAACATTTTCTAAGAAAAATTTCAGTAGAAACGGTTTTCTTATATTTAGTTGCAACCTGAAAATTAATGTGTTAATAGTTATATTAGTGGTGGTGGAGGAGTTGGTATTTGGGCATAGGGCTCCATGTAAATATGAACTGTAGACGTATGCAATCTTGCTGAACCACCTAAATCTGTGTCATGATTTTCTTGTTTGAAATTGATTCTTCTTGCTATTCTGTGTGGTGTGGGGTATATTCCGCAGCATTCACATCATCAGCTTAGTGTTTTCTCAATTACTTTCCTTCACTGATCAAATTATGTGTTTTGGGTATTGCAGAACATGCTTCAATGCAGAAAATCACTGAGAAGAGTGATGTATACAGTTTTGGTATGGTTCTTCTAGAGGTGTTGACAGGAAGGCACCCACTGGACCCGACATTGCCTGGGGGTGCACACCTAGTTCAGTGGGTTCATGACCACTTACAATCTAAGGGTGACCCTGCTGACATTCTTGATCCAAAGCTCAGAGGCAGGGCTGACCCTCAGATGCATGAAATCCTCCAAACACTGGCGGTTTCGTTCCTCTGCGTCGCCAATCGAGCTCATGACCGTCCAACGATGAAGGACGTCGTTGCAATGCTGACGGAGATTCGACACGTTGATGCGATAAGGTCAGAAACAGATTTGTTGAAGGGAAGTTTGCAGGCTCTCCCGCCGTCACCGCCTACTCGGAATGTCTTTTTCCAAGGATCTTCTAACTGTTCCTTTGCTTTCTCTGATGATTTAGTGTGATCAAGGTTTCAGGGGATGCTGGCAATTTTGTGCATAGGGGTACCCTTCAGAGCAGGATTGTAATTTTGTGTATTGTCATCTGGTAAGAAGAGTGTAATGTCTGCTAATCTTGCTGTAGATTGATTGAATAGTTTTAGTACTAAGTTGAGCTCAAATTGAAAGATGTAAAAAAGAAGGTATTGTTACAGCTCAAGATCATTGTAAAAGAGGAGGAAGGGAAGAAAAGTGTGTGTGAAGGGCACGGGATTTTCTATTCTTTTGTTCCAAAACATTCATAGCCATTGGATCCTGAGATTCTTATATTTTCAAGTTGTGTTTAGATCAAATTGTTCCAAAACATTCATAGCCATTGGATTTTGAGATTCTTTTATTTTCAGGTTGTGTTTAGATCATGAGTTTGATGGAGGGATTTGCAGAGGAAAAAGAAAGAGAATGAAAAAGTGAATAAATAAATAAATAAATCAACTTATGTTTCATTTACTTTTTCCTTCACTTTTCCTTTTCTTTTACAAATCACTCTTTAATCTATGATCCAAATACAACCTAATTTAATGGTTGAGTATTTTGGGATAAGAAAACAAAGCTGACTATAAGAAGTAGAAGTATTATATAGGGAATTGAGATGGCTTAACTGTCTCTTCTATTAGGGCTTGAGAGTGTGTAAAGGGTTGTAGAAGGTGGAGTAATGATTGGTTGTCTTGGATTTATATTATTAGAATTAGAATTTAATGCAAAGGAATGAAATTCACTTTACATCTCTCTTTCTCTCTCCAGCAGAGCCAGCCTTCAAGCAGTGCCCACATGGTCCCAGGGTACTCACAGCACATGTTCATGTGATGTTCTGAGTGTGACTTTCCACAGATGAAAAACCTTTTCTAATCTGGAAATTTTTGCATGCCCTAATCCATGAACATGTACAAGCAAGACAAAGCAAATATATTTATATATTGAAACAGAAAAAATGTTCTGTAAACAAAGTAAAAGTGATGAGATCCATATGATGAATCCAATGGCAATAAAAATGGTAAAGTAAATAAAACAAAGCACAGCACAGCACAGCACAACAAAGGGTAAGACAGTAATGTCACTATATTGATTCACTCTCAAACATTTACATTCATTGTCCATAACATTCAAATGAATTTTATGGGTCCAAGGTTCTAATTGTCTCCAACGGCTTACAATAAATTGTTTGCTTTGGGACTACCCCGTTCCCCCCCTGAACTTGCTTGCAGGTCATCTGACGGAGCCAGCCTTCCTGAGCCGGATTCTGGAGAACCTGGGCCGGTCCGACCCATCCACCCGGGAATCGATACATCATCAACATTCATTGTCTATAACATTCAAATGAATTATATGGGTCCAAGGTTCTAATTGTCTCCAACGGCTTACAATAAATTGTTTGCTTTGCTGTACAAAAGTAGTAAACATCAATGACGAATATGGTGTTTAATTACATCAGATTTACAGTACATGAATCTGTGACAACTCTGGTTTCAGCAAATGTTGAGTCCACCAGTAGCACCCAGGCGTTGTGACCTTTTGTTTTCTGTTGATGCTGTATGTCCTACATTTCACTGTAACATGGTTGGCACCGGGTTGGCTGACAAAGAAAGCAGTTTGTCACAAGGGAGGGCCACCAACTAACTCCTACTACTTCTTGGCTCGTAGTGTTCCCATGTGGATTGCTATCCTTTGCCATATGACACGACCAAGGGATAAAATTGACTCTAAAACAAAAACCATACCATTCCTTACGAGGCATATAAGAATGAAATGATCTGATGTCCTCTAAAGGGGATACACTCGGATTCTATCTTCTTCAAGACAAAGCTAGGCCCAATTGAAGCCATGATATAGAAGCCACCTAATAATTCTTGATTTCTGTGTTTCACTGGTACGATCCAGACCCTGAAACCACTGTTTTGAGGAGGCCGGAGTGAATAAATGATCCATTGAGATTTTTTATCATAATCTTGGACTCAAAATTTCTTTTGATTTTCCTACATTTTCCTAGGAACCAAACAGAAAGTGGAGAAAATTTGAAGATTGAGTTTTTCTGAAGCGAAAAACTCGACATTGAAGGCCGGCAACAAACCCTATTTTCTTTCTCTGTTTCGCGCGAATGCTTAATGGGCCAGCCAAATGGGCAGAATGGCCAACTACAAATGGCCCATTTAGAAGCTTCGAACATTTTCTGAATTGGATAAACTGATTTCTAGGCTTGACCCAAATGTTGAATCATTGAAATTTGAATCCAAAAAACAAAACAAAAAAAAGAAGAAAAGACCACATCACAGCGCAACTAGATTATTGCAGTAAGATTGAATGAAGTTACGATTATAAAATAAATAAATAAAAAATGGACTTGGTTAATTGGAAGGTATTGTTGGGATGAGATTCCGTGATCCCACCATATAAGTCACATTGATTATTCGGATGGTTCAATGCGTAGAACTCGTTGAGTATTTCATTATTGTAAAAAATTATATTAATTAAATATCGATAGTTACTTGATCAGATTACAATGCAACCTCCGTAGTGAGCCCATAGAGACTTAACAACTCTATCTCTCATAAAAAAAGTATATATTGTCAACACCATTGTGATAATGAGTTAATTTAGTGTTGGAACAATCTTCTGAGTAAGTAAAATAAATTGAGACTAATTCAAACAAAATAAATAAATAACATACCGAATTTATTTATCGAACTGAATTAAAAAAACAAAAGACCAAGTCGAGTATGTGACACTCTGTCCTTAAGACAGATTCGCCCCGCTACGGTGCTTACGGTTGAGTGGCGTCTATCTCTCAGGATACAATGATCTTTACAAAATTGTTGTAGCACACCAAACAAATTTGTACGGCGAACCAAACCTGTATTCTATACTCTCTTTATTTTTTCTTAAAAATATATATGAAGAATATATGCACTAGAGCAAAGTGGACAGCCAATGAGACAATTTCCTGACTGATTTTCGGATCTGAAGACTGCTGGAATAGATCTGAATATATAGACCCGAACAGGTGTTTAATTTGAAATGAACAGATGTGGTTTCAAATGAACAGGTGCATAAAGGGACTGAACAGATAACTGCTGGATATGTAGATTTGTTTGAACCTGTCAAACAGTGCAGTTTCGGACTGTAACTGCTGGGCAGTTTTGAGCAGTTTTATGCAGTTAAATTGTTACAGAATTCGGACTGAAGGAGGCTCAAGAGTTGGACAAAAAATTGGAATTCAAATTTGAATTAAGTTCCCGCAATAATTTTTGAAAAAAATTCAAATGAATTTTGTCTAAAAAATTAATATTAGAATCGACCCGACCCACAACCGTGCCCGGCACGGCAAGGCTCGGCTCGGCCGGCCGGACGGTGGCTGCGCGCGTGCGTGTGTGGTGGTTTGGGCTAAGGTACACTTTGTCCATAACTCCTCCCTTCTATAAACTTGGGGTGCCCCTTGAGGCCCAACCCAAGTGTTATAGGCTAGAGCTTATATACACAAATAAACTCTCTTAAAGTTTCAATGTGAGACAACTCATTAAAAGGAAACCTACATGTAAATCTTTAAATGTCCATTCCTCGAACCCGAAAACGACGTCAACTTCTCATTCACTCATAAATAGTTTTGACGAACCGTCTTCACCGTGTGACTTGCCACGCGGTAAGGAACACTTCACCTCTTCGGACCCGCCCCAAAAAACATTCGAGCCCTTTTCAATTTTGGGCTCAAAGTTGGCCCAAAATAAGCCTAATAAAACCAATTTTCCAACAATCCCCCACATGAATGGAATTTGACGGAGAGAAAATGCAACAACATGATCTAATTACAGAGAGTACAAAAATTGAAAATATTCTGCAAATGATAGGTAACTTTTGGCTTTAAATCTTTCCTTGTGAGACACTATCAAATTTATTAGCTAACCAGTGAACACGATGTCTTGAATTATTCAGCCATTTGTGTAAACCAAGACAATAGAACTCACACAGTATATTCCCAGACACAGTTTAGTTCTCACTATTGTGTTCATTTTGGCCCTAAACAACCTGATCTTTCATGAGTGCTCTAGAGAATTGTAGCCCTTCACAAATCTCATAGAACCGGCCCAGTTCACACTCATATAGGCGATTCTTATGAAGAGTATCCTGCTATACTCCACTAGGTATACCTAGATATAAGAATCATTAAAAATATTATTTAACCTAAAACGCTGCAGACATCACTATTTCATCATAAAAATGGGTAGGAGTTTAACTCCCTAGTGATCCTTCTGAGTCATACACAACTCGGTTGTCCTTTTGAACCTAGATCTTGGGATCTCCAGTCAACTAGGTTGGGTTGCCGTTGTGGTGACTCTTATTTAATAGGCTTTAGTCCCATTCCCCTCGTTGAATTCTCAACTAGCTCTCTTGCTAACCCTTTGGTTAGTGGATCCGCTATGTTGTCTTTAGACTTCACATATTCAATGGAAATAATTCCATTACAGAGTAGTTGTCTCATGGTGTTATGTCGATGATGAATGTGTCGTGACTTACCATTATACATATGACTCTGTGCTCTACCTATTGCTGATTGACCATCGCAATGTATGCATATAGCAGGCACTGGTTTTGGCCATATTGGAATATCTTCAAGGAAGTGGCGAAGCCATTTTGCCTTCCCCTGCTTTGTCTAAAGCTATGAATTCTGATTCCATAGTAGACCTAGCAATGCAAGTCTGTTTGGAAGATTTCCAAGATACAGCCGCCCCACCAAGAGTAAAGACATACCCACTGGTGGACTTTGAGTCTCTAGTATCCGATATCCAATTTGCATCACAGTATCCTTCAAGTACTGCTGGATATCTAGTATAATTAAGCCCAATGTTATGAGTAAATCGGAGATATCATAGAACCCTTATAATTGCTGTCCAGTGTTTTACTCCAGGGTTACTCGTATATCTACTTAATTTACTTACTGCAGAAGCTATATCCGGGCGAGTGCAGTTCATCAAGTACATTAAGCTTCCAATAATTTGGACATACTCTAATTGAGAAATACTTTCCTGTACATTCTTAGAAAGATACAAATTAACATCTACAGGTGTTCTAGCAAGATGATCATCATCTTTGCTGAATCTGTCAAGTATTTTCTTAATGTAATGAGATTGTGACAAAGCATATCCTTCTGATATTTTGGTAATTTTCATACCAAGAATTACATCAGCAATACCCATGTCTTTCATGTCAAAATGTTTATACAACATTTTCTTGGTAGTTTTAATCATTTCATTATTACTACCTATGATGAGCATATCATCCA